AATCAGGATGATGAGGCACTGGAACAGGTTACCCAGAGATGTGGATGCCCCATCCCTGGAGACATCCAAGGTCAGGCTGGAAGGGACTCTGAGCAAGGTGATTGAGCTGTAGGTGTCTGTTTGTTGCAGGGGAGTTGGACTGGATGGCCTTTAAATGTCCCTTCCAACTCAAATGATTCCAGGTATGTATTCAAAATACTTGTCTTGGTACAAATTGAGATCTGTTAGAAGCTAGGTTAACATGCCCTGGCTTATTTCTGATACATGTCTAGGTAATTGTTAATGTAAGTTAGAGCAGAATGAGTGGGATTTCCTGCTTTTGCTTGTGGTGGCATGTGCCACATTCCGCTGCTTTTGGACTCAAGCATTTGTTCTCTTGAAACACACGCAGCTCCCACCATTCTTTCCTGAACACCTAGAAACCCTGAATTTTAACAATTTTGACAAATTCAAACTGCATCCCACAGGAAAAGACTTACATGTTTTTAAAGTGATTTTTTTGGACTGAATTACTGTGTAAAAGTTGCAAGTTCTGGCTGAGGAGTGGGAGGTGACTAAAACACAGTACTTAATTGATCAGATGTGGTATGGGATGCCTGGGGACAGCCCAAGGACCTGACTTCCTGGGCAGGTGGTGTGTTTGTGGTGCATTCCAAGCTTAGCAAAACTCTCCTGGTGTTTCAGGGGTAGCAGCACTGATGTTCTTGTTAGACTGTCACAAGATGCTTTCAAGTGAGTTTTGGCAGGACACAACAGAAATTTAGGGGTGGGAGAGCCATATGGGGTTGAACTGGTGACAAAACAAATATTTGTGATTGTTTCCAGTCAAATGAGTTCTTCTACTGGAATCTGTTTTCGAAGTACAAGGTGTCTTTTGAATCTAGGATAAAATGAAATGTGGGCTGTGAATATACCACAGTCTCTTTTGTGTCTCTCTGCCTGGGAGGTAGAGGACATGAATGTCCTGGACAGTAAGTGCTTATTCAAACCTGAAAACTGAACCCGATTTCTGATTATCTGGTGCTGACTGGAACTCGCCAGTAGATGAGCATTAGGGTGGTGCAGAGAGGGAGAGATTGTGACCCTGAATACAGTGAATGTTCTTCAAACCTCTGTGACTCTCCTTCCAAAAGCCTCAATGAGAAGAAGCAAAATCAGAACTGAATCTAGTTGCCAAAGTTTGGGTGGTCTTGAACATCCATTGCTCGTGTCAGTACTTAAGTGATGCAGAACAAGGGTGTGCTGGCCTCCAAATGGATTTTGCATCAGATCCAGTGATGTTGCTGGAAGGATGGGGCTCTGCTGGCCTGAGCAATGGCTGTGCTGTGTGCAGCAGTGCAGCACAGCTGGCTGTGTGAGGGGTGGCAGCTCCCAGGCACTGAGGGGCCTGCAGCCAGCACCATGCTGGTGTTGTTCCTGAACACTGCGAGGCAGCTGCGGAGTCCCAGGGATGACTGAAAGTAAAGGATTGCTACTGCCAGAGGTGGCACTGTGTCACACTGAGAGCAGCAGTGTGCCACCTCTGTCCTGAAGGAGTTCTGCTTGCTTGACTGTGAGGGATCAGAGCACTTCCCTGCTTCTTTCATGTTGGCTGCCTTATCATTGCACAGGTTACTGATCCATCCGTTGTGCTGCAAGCAGCGGAGTCTGAATGGCTCCATCCCACTGCTGTACTGGAAGGATCGAGGAGTAATGCTTAGGGCTAGACACAGCCTCATCGGGAGCAGTTGCTGCTGTGCAAGATCACTGCTACAGAGGCAGTGGTGCTTCAAACAAAGTGGTGTGGCTGCAGGTATATTGCAACTTGATTTGTCGTTCTCGCCTGTTAGCCAAATATACCAAGGTAAATTGGCTGGTGGATCACAGTGAATTTGGAAGAGGTGGAGGTGGGGATGTGTGTGCAAGGATGAGAAAGTCAGTGCCCAGAGCCAGCAGGACAGATGTGCTAGCATTGCTCTGTCCTGCAATCTGTTACAACAGCCCTGTCAGCTGGGAGGTTGCAATCAAAGTATCTTTGTATAAATCCCTACATTGTTACCACCTGGCAGACATAATGAACTGAAAAGGAGAAAACGAGTCTTACATTTTTGAAGATAGCTACATGAATCACTAAATGCTGAATGAATTTAAAAGAAATATTCATTCCTTTTTAGTAGATTTGCTTTGTTTTGAGCAACCTCTCAACCTTTTGAGCAAATAACCTGGTGTGATTTGAATAAAT